TATAAATGATAATTTTAAAAGGGAAAATGCGGATGCAATTACAAAATTAAAATTACATATTATGAAATTTCTCATAAAATTACCCATATGAAATTACCCATGTAAAATTACCCATATGAAATTACCCATATAAAATTACCCATAATGTACTGAAATATGCACCAATTTTTTTAAATTGTTTTTCTACTTAATATAGTTGACTTAAATATTGCATTGTGGGAATTTGTTTTTGTTGAAATTTTTTTTCTTTCTCTTAATGTGATTGCAAAATAGCTTATATTCAGTAAAAAGGAATTTATATTCAGTAAAACATTTAATTTCAGTTCATTTAAACTGTGCTTTTAAAATAAATATTATAAAATCTTAAACAGCTATCTCACTCAAATCGTATCGTAAATTTGTAATATATTTATGTTTAAAGTTTACACAAAACTACAAATAGCATATAAGACGATTTCCCTGATTAAACTTTAATATTGTGTTTTATATAAAGAAGGCTTAAGTTTTTTAAATAACAATTTTTTTAAAATTTTATTTTTGTTAAAGCGCATTGTATGTTTTATTAATAAAAACACACAATGAAATAATATACAAATAGATACTTATTATAAAGGGGCAGTAGTTTAATGAGAATATTGTATTTGATTTTAGTGAATTGTTCGAGTTTGAATTTCGCAAAAGTATGCGGTGGTTTTCAATACAGAAGAAAAGAGATTTTTTCGAATAAAAATTAATTTGTTTAATTAGATTAAACAATACCTTTTAAAATATTGCAATTGCCGGAAATGAAAATTGCTATTATATGTAAACATGAAGGATATTTTTAACCCTTATCTATATTTTTTCTCCGATCAATATTTAAATTTCTTACAATAACTTGATTATAATGTTTTCTTATTTTAAAAATTTTTTTATTGTAAGGAGTTTAGGATAACCCTTACATCACAATCTTACCAAAAAAAAAAGAAGGAAAAAAACAATAATGAAAGAAGCAGTCATGAGACCAATGTCAAATTTCGCCTTATCTTGCATATTAACTATACCCATTTAAACAATTTTAAGACAAACAATTAAATAATTGTAAATCTCAGCCTCTAGGAACAGGAAGAGCAGCGCAATTACGTCATATGGCCATGTGACGCGAAGTCTTCTATCGAATTTCTCCGTGACCATAATAGGGAGAGGAGGTACTGATAGCTGAAAAGTGAAGAGAATAAATAAAGAAGGAAGAAAAAGGAGGGCAACTCCAGCAAGGAATGCGTTTCTCCTCTCTTCTCAAGCAGACACAAGACCAGCGAATTGCACTTCTTCTAGAAAGGATAGGGGGCAGACAAAAATTGCAGAAAATAGCTCTCTCTTTCTCTCTTTAGTGTGAATAAAGTTCTATGAAGTTAATAACAAATAAAGTTTAGGCTAATGTTTTTCCTGCATGCCCTAGAAAAAAAAATACAAGACATCTTTTTTTCACAACAATCTTCAGCCATTTAAAATGAAATGAAATAAAACCATAATAATAAATATTTATTTGTACGGTTAAAGTAGTCAATCTGTCAATTAACAATGTGGTTAATTAATAATAACCGACCATTAAAGATGATCAAATTGTTTGGTTAATATAATAAATTAGGAAAATTAATGGCGTTAAGCGGTTATTTCTAATAATTGTTGACCAGGTTCAAATCCCAGCAATGGCTCGCCGATACAAATTCTGCTACCGGCCCGTCACCGACCATAGTACTGACATAAATTATCCTCAGTGGAAGACGGATCATGGGTTAGAATTCTCTCACCTGTATCAAAATTTGAGTGTCAATTTCTTTTATTTCTGAATTTTGCCACTTTCTTCATCCATATTTCTTAAAAAAAATATTTAAAGAAATTTTCTTAATAAATTGCTTTGTCCAAATTACTCTTATTTCATAGGATGTATTTGGCTTGAATAAGGATGGACAATTTAAGAAATTTTTAGAATTTTTCGTATTACAGATTTCATTCAAAACTGGTTTCATATTAAAATATGAGGGCCACTTTGTTTGAACACATCCATATTTCTTAAGAACTATGCAAAAAAAATTTAAGAACACTTTTTTTAGTACAAAACACTTCATTATAAAAGTATCAGAGCTGTGGTGACCCAAGGGATAGAGCGCTTCTATTCCAATGAGGTAACTCGAGTTCGAATCCCAGTGATGGCTGGTAGATGCGAATTCCTCACCTTGCTTCCACTGATCACAGAATAAGCGTAAATTATTCCCAGATGTAGACGGGACATGAGTTAGAGTCCCTCTGTCGCCAGGCTGACCATGGGAGGTTTTCGTGGCTATCCCCTCCATGTGACCCAAATGCGGTATAGTTCCATCAAAAAGTACTCCAGGAATTCAAATTTTTCCTAAAAGTTGATAAATGCGTTCCCTTGTCGTCTGAATTGGGTTTAAAATTTACAAGACTCTTTCGTTCCTTGAATAAATGACAAGTCATAGAACTGAAAAATTGACATATAAATAGGAGCTGAAAATTGCAACTCTAACGAAAACTCTAAAAATTGCACTGCAACTCTAACAAAAAATAAAAACAATTTTGCAAGAGTAAAGGGAATTTTTCAAAAGAAAAAAGAAAATTTTTTGGAGGGAGTTATTTTCGTTTTCTTAATTAGCAACTTTCTGTGTCATATTTTAACTTTTTGTTAGAAAATGCACAAAAATGTAATAGATGGACAAAATTATAATACATTTTTATTTTTTATTCTCTTCCACTCATTATTTTTTAAAAAGCCTGGTCACTTTACTAATGGCTGAATTGAACTTTGAAATCGCTTCAGCATTATTAAAGCTTATATTCTTTAGTATTAAATATAAGTAAAATTAATATTCACAGTTCGTAAAATAAAAAATTGCGATATTGTAAGTGGAATTTTCTTTCAAGGAATAAGTACGTAAAAAAACAGTGCAATGTTTAATTATTTTATTTCTCCACAATTATGATGTGATACTGTACAAGTTTTGACTTGACAGTTTTGATGTCAGTTTACAGCTGAATTTATTAAAATTATATATTTTAAAAGTTGTTCGAATTATATGCAAAAAACTTTTTTTCTAAGGTATATATTTATTTTATTTATAAAATTAATTGTAATTATGACTAAGCATTACATATTTAATTAATATTTGCAAGTTCACTTTTCTTTCACCTTAAAATTTGATACATAAAATTAGATTAACATCATTAATTACAGTACCAAATGATTTACTTAAGCATTATTATAAGAAATAGGGGTGCCAACTATGATTTCAGTGAATGGGCATTTAAGTTTGCAAATATATCAGCCGAACTCTTCACTGCAAGGAAAAAAAATCCATTAAATTTACGAGGAAAAAATTCCTAGCTGGTATGCCAGTATAAAACCGCTTATATTGCAGAAAGTATTCTTATCAAAAAACGAACACCTGCTTTTTAAGCATATAAGTACTGCTATTTCAGCAAACGAACTTCGTCATTTTAACAAACAAATTCCATTATTTAAAAAAAAAAAAACTTCTGTTATCATAACTAACTGTTATTTCACCATAACGACTATAAAGGAACTATAATTGGAGAGAGAGGACCAATCAACAGTGAACCTGGGTCACCTCATATGGAGCCGAGTACTCTGTTCCTAGAGCTATTGAAACACTAGCTTTCATCACGCAGAAAAAACTTAAATTGTTTTATTTTCTCATTGAAATCGCATTTAAGACTCATTGAAATATATTTACGAGTAAAAACATTTAAAACTATTATGATCCTCCCTTATAAAATTGTCTGGCAACTTAGTTTACCAAAAAATTTTATCTAAAGAAACATGACACTCCGGCAGAGTATCAGTTAGAGAATAATATTGATTTGCAACTTTCTTTATTCAAAACCATAAAATAATTGCTCAAAAGTATAAGCAAGCATAAAAAATAATTGTGAAATGATGTGAAAAAAAGGTAAAGGTATCGTTAGGTAAGTAAAACGGTGATATAACGGTTTTAATCCGTTAATGATTAGGGTGAAAAAAAGGGAAAACCATTTTGTCAGCAAAACAGCTTCAAACCATTAAATATATAAAGAAAGTAAATACACAAAAAGGAATTTTTGACATTTAATGGATATCGGTGAAGAACAGAAACAAAAACCTATATTTTCTTTTATACGGTTTTTTTTTCGGTAGATTTTATTTTTTACAATGTAATACATGGGTTGCAGTTAATTCAATTGATTTGGATAAAAACATACGAGTTTTTACCACAGCAGCTGTGGTATAAAATTTTATTATCTTCATAAAAATATCTAATTTTGAATATTAGCTAAAGAGATACAGAAATACATTTCAGAAGGCATAAAAAGCAATGCATATGTAAATTAACTTTCAGACTTAAGAGGAAGGATAAAGGAGCACTTGTTTAAATGTCATTATGATCGAGGCAATAAGTTCAAGTGGTTTCAGTCTTAATTTTACCAACTATGGCAAATAATTAGTTAAGTAGCTAAGAACGAATAAAAAATTTGCAGTTGCCAAATATAACAAATACATGCATGACATCAAAAAGGCTTTTCGTTTTTTCTTTATTTAAAAGTTAAGTATCAAAAAAGGAATTTTATTTGAAATTTTCTCTTCTTTTTAGAAGCTGTTTAACAGTGAATGATTCTCATTTTAATAAATGAAAATGTTTTTAAGTGATGAAAGATTATTTTTTTCAACCACCTCCGCTCATAGAGGCACCTTAACTATAAGTTAAAAATAAACTTAAGTGGGTTGTAAAAAAGAAACTAAGTTCTGAAGAAAAAAAAGTCCGTAAAAAAAGAAAGAAATTGTAGACGACTTCAAGTCTGTCATTCTGAAGAAGAATCTACAACTTTGAGCTTGCATCACTAATTCTCAGTTTCAATAATAGTTACTAATATTGTCACGAGAGGACGCTGTGTCACGCAGTCACCAACATTGGACTAATCGTATGTTGTGCGGCGCGCTTTTAAAGATCGCTTTTTGGCGGCAGCACTTTACTGTCCCTTAGATTTGGTAAACATTGGAATTGGGAATATACCTTAAGGGATCGTCACCTCAGTGAAGTTGTGCTTTGCTGTACTGAGGTTCATATTGGATTAATTGGTATGATATATTTTGTTGTTCTAAAAAAATGATCAGGTGTAGTTAATGGTTTCCAACAAGTTAAGGTTAAAGCTTGTTTTAAAGAATCTCACATTTTCGAGGCTACGGTCATGCCTAGTTTTGATAAAATAAGTGCATAGTTTAAACTATAATAACAATAGTTAAGGAAATATGAAATGAAATTAAAGAAAACTGATGCAGGAATGCAGAAAAGAAAAAAAACTGTAAGGTTATTAAGCTAACATTCAAAAACAACTGCATGAAAGAGGCATAATATTATGAACTTAAGCAAATTCTGTTCATTTCTTTTGTTAACAAAGAAACAGATATAAGTACAAAGGTGACTTAGATATTAACTTTATTATTGAAAAACAATAATAACGGTAACATTTGAGTGCGCAAAAAAAACAAACACTCAGTGGCTTAATCTGAATAACTTTTGATCTAATAATCGGATCCTCACGTTCTAGGACTCAATCTTAATAATTCAAAAGGGAGACCTCAAATATGCTAATTAATTAGTGAAGACGATGTTTTAAGTTTAAAAAAAGCCACATAAAAATAATTTATTTGTCTTTTCCTTGTTTGCCTTTGTTTCGTCGAATTCAGATGACCTCCAAACTATAGTGGTAATTGAAAGCATTGGTCTCACAATCCTCTTTTTCGACACCATCTTGTACTCGAATTTCCTCCGCAATCTGGAAAATATGGTTCCAATAGGTTGGTCAGTTAGAGAGTGTTTTTCTGAATAAACCTACAAATTAGCAATCATATATCGTTAACAGTTTTCCCCCACAGTTGACAAAAGCCAGCCCTTAAAATTAAAATGCTCCAACAAACATTGTACAATTATTTTAAGCACATTACAAACATAATTAAAATAAAACTATTCGCAATTTTTAAGTTTCTTAATGAGTTAAAAATTAATTATTTTGCGTCTTTTTAAATACCATAATCACAGAGATTTTTTACCCATCGAAACACCTTATACAGTGCCTGTAACTATGTTGAGTATAGATATAAATTTCTGAATCTGAGTTTAGTTGCAAGGCAATAATTTTCTGGTGACTGTTTCGCAATAGTTTTCTAAAAACTAATATCGCAATATTGTCCGTCATACGCATTAGCTTAATTTTATGGGGGAAATATTTATTTATACGTAATTATAATATAATAATAAATATTATGTGAGTAATTTATTTATGGTTAATTATAATACATATGATAAATGTAATATAGCATGTATAATATTAAACGTATAAAATAAAATGTATAATTATGAATATAAATTTCTTTAAATGACGGTTTGAAAACTTTGATGATGATCGTAAATTTTATACAATAACTTTTATTGATTGAATTTAAAACTCTTAATTGACTATATTTAATGGTCGAGTGCTTTGAAAACAAGAAATTTTTTTATTAATATATACTTAAAAAGCTAGTGTAACCTCAGAAAAAGAATTTAATTTGTTTCTCCTTGGTGGCAACGGTAATGTATTCTTCATAACTAACAAAAATTTGTATAACTCATTAAATAGTAGTGGCGTGTTACATCGCAATGGTCATGAGCCATCCGTGAAGTTCAAAGATCAGGTCAAGAGGTGATACTAATGTCCAGTTCTGGTTACTTTTTTTCCCGTTGGGGGGAGGGCGTTAATGAAAGATATTTTGCTTGGAAAGGAGGAAGGGGGGGGGTCGTGAAATTGTGTCAATTTGTGACAAGGTGGGTGGAAGGAGCAAGCAGTGTGAAATTCCAAATTTTTGTCAAAATGAAAATATTTAAAGCTAAAAGATTAACTATTTTTTATTATTAGTTTCATACTATTTGTTATATATTTTTTCATATCTTTTGTTAAAAAAAAGAAGCATCTAATCATTATTATTATTGATATAATCTCGAATATAAGATAATATATATATAATCATATATAATAACGAGTACAGATATCATTAAGGAAAATAAAGCGATTTAATTTAAGCTCTTCATGTCAAGATGTTTTTTCACTCTCTGTACGCAGCACAGCTGGTTCAGCATTAGTTAATAAAAAAAGAAAACAAATGTTAGTCGTAATGATTACTAGGTGAGCAAAAAAGAGCAACTGAAAGCTTTTGTGGTGTTAGATTCTTTTTCATTCCTGAAGGAAATTAAAGCTAGAAGTTTTTGAAACCTACTGAAACGATTACCTACTGAGCTATTACCTACCATTAATGCTTTAATACTTGGAAGTTTTATTTGCGTTTAAAAGAAATTTGTTTCGGGGTGGTATTTTTAAGGAAATAAGGATCTTTCCTTAAAATACAACTGATGTAGTAGGAGAATAGAATTATCAGCAAGCAAGTGCTTGCTTCCACAATAGTCAGAATAAAAACAATTTTGCTTTGAGGAACATATTTTAGGATATCTACATGAAATGTTTGATGTGAAACTCAATAAACATATGAATGGTGATCTTCCTAAAAGTATTTAACCAAATAGAAAGTGTGAAAAAATAGAAATCCGCAATCTTTTAAATAAAAACGTACAAATATGAAAATAAAAACTTTTTGTTTAAGATGCACAATATATTCACGAAAAAAGGCTGATTAGGGATGTAAAAAACTGCGAACTAAGTAGTTTCTTTTGTGGAATTTTTATTTTGTATTAAGTGTGTTTACAATTTTTACAAAGGCTAAAGTTGTTATTTTTTTCATTATAATTTTACAAAATAAAAAACAAGTTTAACAGGATTATTTTTCATAAAAAAATTAACTCCTTTGCAGCATTCTGAGAAATAAAGTACAAATTTTGTGAATTTTTTTTTTGTATAATTGAAGTATTTTCAATAATTTGAGTTCTCTTTAAGTTTTTATTTACACAATATGTCATAATCCTAGTTCAGTTCTTAAAAATATCAGAAGTGATATATGTGAAAATAAACTAGAATCAAATCAACATTTGCAAATTACAGTGCTCTTTAATTTTCCAACAGTTACAAATTTTCATCATTTTTGAGAGGGGTGAGATTGCAATTACAACTTCAATGGCTTAAAATAATGAATAATGACATTATCAACTTTGTAACTATATAAAAAAATTGTTTTTCACTTATAAGCTATGAATAAAAAAGAATACTGTTATCCTGACTGGCGTATAACACTTGTTTTGATTTGTTTGATTATTTGTTTTGATTTTCATTTGGATAATATCATCAATCATAAGGTTGATAAATACCACTCAAAGAAAAAATTTTAATATGTTTTTCACTTCATGAGCTTGAATATGTGTATAGCTATGGGATATGTTTTTCATTTGTAAATATTTGTTTAGTTGGTGAATGTAAATACGACAATATTTTAAACGTTACTCACTTTGGAGCTGTAACAAAATAGCAAATAATATCTTCTTTCGATTTTTTTTCTGTTGTAGTCAAGATGAGGGTGATATCAGTTTCCCCTTACTTTGAAGTTTTACACTTAAATCCTTTTGGTTTTATTTTTTCCCGATGATTAAATACTATGTTCTCCGTTGAGATGATTTAGTAGAGATATTAATGCAATTTTTCTATCCCAATTTTAAAATGTATTCTAAACTATGCTATTACTGTTTTTTTTTCTTTCAAGAAATGAATATTTCGGATTCCCTGTATTGTATTTTATTGTAGATGCATATAGTGTTATATGTATTATATATATTAATAATAATATAACATAATATATATATTATGAGTGTTAAATTTTTTTCATATTTTATTAATTTATTATTTATTAATTTATTGTGTTATATTTTTTTTACTGAACAAATATTTTGTAAGGATAAATTTTCATTTGAGTGTAACATATTTGTCTAATTATTTGATAGCCGCGTAAACACCGCTCACAAATGTTCATCTTAGTTTTGCTTTCAAACGTATGCATTTTTTGAGCATCTTTATTTATTCAGTACTATAAAACGTGTTCTTTCTGTTATGAGGAATATAAAACGAGAACTCTTTGTTGGAAACAACTATTTAAATTTTTTAAACCTATTCCTGAACAGATCTTTTTAATGGTGGGCATTTTGTAATTGAAGGAAACAGAAGTTAGGCTCGGTGGCTGAACGGTAGTTCTGTGCCACTGGTTAGGTGTTCTATCCTTGGATCGGGCAAGTTTGACTCAGTCTTTTATCTCTTCAGTGAGTGGATAAAATGAGTACCAAGTATGCTTGGAGATTTACTCGAGGGTCTGTGTTCGGCTGACCACCCAATCGGAACATCTGAGTCTGCACCTCAGAGCTCAAGTTCAAGAAAATTGAGAGAGGCACAATAGGCCTTGGCCCTTCATGGACTGCAGAAGCTAGGCAACATCATGGGAAATTTTTCACTAAGCTATATTACTTGCATAATGGTGATTTAATTGTGTTTTGAACATTCCTGCAAAAATTGATTACTGATTGAAAATATTTAGAAAGGGCCTGACCCAATAATGTCTAAGTCAAATTATTTCATTTTCAAAAACTAAAATTAAATATCATGAAATCATCAGAAAAAATATTTATAAACTTCTTCCTGAAAATTTTTATTTATTTATTTACTTATTACTTTTTTATGAAAAATAATCGTCGAAAAACAAATGAGAAATAAAATAGGAACTAAACAGATCTAAAACTTTGTAAGATACAAAAAAAGGCAATTAAAAGTAGTAATGATAATCAAACCAATTTGACCAAAGATATAAAGCAACTGTAGTTTTACAGACTATGTATTTAGTAGCTGAAATAATAAATCGAAAGCCTTCAGTAACGATAAGTTTTGAAGAAATAAGAATGCAGGTTATGTGATGAAAGTATTCCCACTTTTAAGAATTTTTTTAATTTTTAAATCTACATTTATTTATATTAACAAATGTTGACAAAAAACCTAAATTGATTGTTGTTAAGTTGACAAACGAGTATAAATTGATACCGAATGAAGCTAGCATTGTTCAGAAAGTGAAAATATATCTTAATCTTTGAGTGAAAAAGGGGCAATCCTCACCACTAG